CTGCTGCCTCTGCTGAAATGGTGCACTTTGCTGATTCTGGCTCCATTTGAGATTTGGATGATTTTTCCAGCCAGGATTATATGTATTAGAGAAGGGATTGTTTTGCTGCTGCTGCTGCTGGTATTGTGGCTTTGCAGAAAAAACTGCAGCAACAGACTGATCAACTTGGAAACCGCTGTCTTGTAGGGAAGGACAAACATTCGTGGGGTGAGAAGGATCACAACAGATGCCACACAGGTTGCTTATCTGTTGAGCAGAAGGTTGCACAGTCTGTGTCACTGCCAACTGCCTCACCATTGATGTCAACTCATCAAGTCTGTTCTCCATTCTCTGGTTATCTGTGCTTTATGCTCCTGCTGCTGCCACTATTGGATTTTGCATTGGAGGAGCTTTCACTTGGAACACTGCACTGTTGTTTGCTCTAGTGCCAAATTGTTGAGCATTAGCCGCTATCTCAGCAATCAACTCTTTTGCCTCATCAGGTGTTTTATTTCCCAGGACTCCTCCACTAGCTGCATCTAAAAGGTTCCTATCCATAGGCAGCAACCCTTCATAGAAGTAAACAATCAGGAGATTGTCTGGAATCTGATGATGTGGACAGCTTGCACAAAGCCTTTTAAACCGCTCCCAATACTCATGCATATTCTCCCCATTAGCTTGCCTTATGCCACTGAACTTCTTTCTGATTGTGGTGGCCCTGGATGAAGGGAAGAACTTCTCCAGAAACAATTTTGACATGTCATTCCAACTTACAATGGAGGAAGGTGGCAAGTAGTACAACCAGTCTTTAGCTCCACTGTCCAAAGAGAAAGGAAAAGCACGCAGCTTGATTTTCTCCTCATCCACCCCTAGTGGTTTCATAGTGCTGCAGACTATATGAAATTCCTTCAAATGTTTGTGAGGATCCTCACCTGCAAGACGATGAAACTTGGGAAGAAAGTGTATCAGTCCAGACGTAAGCTTAAAAGGTACAACAAGATTAGCATAACGAATACATAGGAGCTGCTCATTATCAACATTAGGAGCAACCAATTGCTTAAGTGTTCTATCATTCATGATTTCAGAATCAAATAAATTACCAAACGAATAAATACTATGTAAAGGACTCGAACAAACAGACTCAGACTCAACAAACTCAGACTCTAAAGTATGCTCAGGAACAGCTCTACTGTAAGTCAACCTACGAGCTCTACTAGCAGCACGCAATGATCTCTCTATCTCAGGGTCATATGCATTTAAATCATCAATACTGGTGATACTCCTAGTCATGCATCATAGGCAAAGGCATACAACAGTAAAATCACAAAACATACGATAAGACACAAAAATTTGCCGAAAATAGCAAATAGAAGAAAAAATAAATCTACAAAAAATAACAAATGACCTCAGAATGCTATGGGACCAACTCTCCTAAACTCTAATTGACCGGACTCAAAAATCAAATAAATTTTTTTCAAAAAATAAAATAAAATAGTAAACGATTGAATTCGGCTAAAATTGGGCAAGTTGAACAATAGCAGAAATACCTGATTTGTCCTGAAACGACAAAGAAACACCAAAACAGGTTAGTAAACGACAAAATTTGGCAAAAATAAGGTCGAATTCCTTTGGGAATAGAACTCTCGAAGCCATTCTCTCAAACAGAAGTTTTACCGATTTCCCCAAATTTGCCCAAAACTGCCTAAAACGTAAATCGTAATGCAGAAAACGCAAAAACTGAGAAAAGACGCGTGTGCAGAATCAAATTCCGATTCAGAATCAAAGGTGCAGAAATCGGAATCAGAAACACAAACGAGTGCAAACGCAGAAACAAGACAGATGCGCAATTTTATTTTATTTTAGAAACAGAAACGAAAATTAAAGAAGAAGAAGATCAAGAATCAGAAAACGATTTGGACCGATGCAATTTCCCCGGCAACGGTGCCAAATTTGACATGAGCTGTCGAACTCGCGCAAATTAAAAATTATTATTTTTTATTAGGGTTCAAAAAATTTGCAGTAAAGTGGAAACCCTAAGTCGTCTCTTAAAGAAATTGTTTGGATAAAAATCACTTTTTGAAAACAGAAAATAAAAAGGGGATTTTTTATTTCAGTTTAATAATTTAAAAGGCAGAATATAAAATTGGAATTAAAATTTGTAATTAAAAATTAACCAACCTAAGGTTAGGGTTCCATGGACGTCTTTCCTCGAATAAAGAGATATCAGAATCGTGATTGATTCTCAATTGAATCAGAATCCTTATTTCAATTGACAACCCTCTCTAAGCGATCGCTTAGCATTTGATCAAATACAATGTTTTTACTCATACAATCGCAGAGTATCAGCCTGTTTGATTTAAGGTCATAGGGTCAATCAATCTAATCATCAAATTTGATGATTAATCCCTTTCCATAATCGCAATCGCGAACCTCAGATTGAATATCCACGATCGCACGATATCAATCTGAGTTTGGAAGGGAAACAAAACTGATTTAAAATAAAGCGCAGATCCTCAAGACTAATCTATGGAATCCGTTACCCTTAGGTTGATTAAAAGGTTCTTAGCCTCGCATGGCAAGGTAAACATAATTAAAAATTAAAAAGAATAAGAATAGAAGAAGAAGAAGAAGAAGAACAGAATTGAATTGAAATTTAGAGAAAACTTGTATGTCGTAAAAAACTCCCAAAAACTGACTTCCGAAGGATTTCCTAAAGTCTCCCTTAAATAGCCGTCATTCAGAACGGCTAAGGTTTCACCGCTTCGGCCCATACATAAAATAAAAGCTGAATAAAATAAAATAAATCAATAAAACATGGCCGTGGGCCCTAAACACATTGGGTCCTAATGTGAATTACAAGTCCAAACGTCAAAATAAAATTCCAGCAAAAACACGTCATCTTGAGCTCAGGTTTCGACCATCTTCGCGTCTGAATTGGGCTTCAGTAGCTGAAATAGTGATTGTATCCCTATCTGTTAGCTGCAAAACTCAACAAGAACGGAGTCAATCGGACATCTGTAGAGTGAGATATGTTCAAAATATGAAAGTAGTGTAAATTTAGAAAATTATGACGAAAATCAATTAACCCAATTAAAATCTAGAATTGTGATTTGACCCAAAAGACCTTTATTTAATTCAAATAAATCATAAAAATACCAACCAAGAGTAATAAATAAGTGTAACAAAATATGAGTTATCACACTGCTACAAAACCAAGCTACCCTTTTTTTTTTATTCAAAACAATTTAATCCAGCTTAAATATTATCGGACTTATATTAGGCCAGTTCTCTTAATACCATTTTTTTTATTGCCAAGACTTGAATTTGAAATTTTTGATTAAGAGAAATAAATTCTTTACCACTTAATTTGAGTGAAAAAAAAGAAAAGAAAAGAAATATATCAGCAATTGTAATTGCATACCATTTTATTGTATCATTAATTTATGTACGAGTATTTTTAAATTTAAATAAAATATAAAAATACAAATAAACAATAAAATACTTTTTTTTATACATAACAATAAAATATGTTAATCCAAGTAAAATATAAAACATATAAATTGAAAGATAATTTCTTTTGAAATTATGAAATACGTATAATTAGTATAAATTTTTTAAAATTTAATTTTTTTAAATGTTTTATTTTCAAAAAAATGATAACTATTTTTAAAAAATGTACTTTACTCGATATACAAAAAATTAAATTAAAAATATTATTCAAATATTTTATATGGAAAATTGCAAGAAATAAATTAGAAGACAATAACTTTTTTTAAAAAAATAACACTTTAAATGTATTTTAGTAATGCATATTTTTATTTTCTTCAATTTAAGTTATAAAGTATGTATTTTTTTAATTTACTAAAAGCAAAACTACTTTGATTCCTATTTTTTTTAAATAACAAATATTTATAGTAAAATAAAAAAATAGAAAGCAGAAAATATAGAAAAATATTTATTGTAAATTAAAACATATATTAGATATATGAATTTAATATTTCTTCCGTCACCGAAGAGAATTTTATATAAAATTATTTCTTATCACTTTAAAATGATATCGTTTTAGGGTTGAGAGAAAAAAATTAATTATAAAGAATAATATATCTTCAAAATAATTGGAATTATAAAAATATCTTCCTCTCAACCTCAAAATGACATTATTTTGAGATAACATGAGTAACCTAATAAACATTAAATATATAAATAGGGATTAAAATTTATTATGTTATAGGATATAATTTTATCTCTTACACATATATAAAATTATGTGAGGCCCATATTTTTTTTTTCTTTCTTCTCTTCACATAATTACAAATAAGCTCTATACACTTTTATTTGTATATAGGAGATAAAATTATCTTCTACAATATGAGAAATATTAATCCCATATAAATATAGATAGATACACAACTTCAATTTTTAAGAGTTTGTAATTAATAATGCCCCAATAACTTAGTACTCAACATTTCAATCCTAGTCACTTCTCGCTGGATTGTAGTAATTAGCTTAAATAAAAAAAAAATCCATATATGCGCGCATATATATATGTCCCGATACAAATTGTAATGTTTCTTGAATCAATAATTAATTAATGGCTTTAGTGCATCTCTAGTCAATGAAGATAATTTATTTTTGAGTAAATATCTTTTTTGGTACTCAGTGGTTCTTCACAAATTCAAAAAAGACTTAAAACTTGTTAAGGATCACAAATAGCTTTTTTATTTGCTAGAAACTAAAGCGGGTATCGTAAAACTTGTTAAGGATCGAAAATGGTATTTATTCTTTATAGTAGACTTAAAATGAAGAGAAAATATATTTTAATAATTCTAATTTATTTAAAGGTTATATTAGTTTTTATTATTTTAATTTTTTAATCTAAAACGATATTATTTTGAATTCATGTTCACTTAATTAATTAAACAAAATCCATCAACCTTCGACTCAAACCCTGTATATAAATAGGAGCGAATTGAAAACAATCTATTCTTGCCATAATTAAGCTCACTAATATTAGTTATAAGATGGATAAAAAGGGCTTCTCATGCCTTCTCTCTTGGTTTCTGATTTTTTTGCTTCTGCAGCTACAGATACAAAGAGGAAGTGGGTCAAATGCAACATCGAAAGGAGTGATCAAGTTGAGAGTAGGGGTACCCAAGAAAGATGGTTTCACCCAATTTGTGAAAGTTGTTTGGGACTCTCATGAAAAGAAGTACAATGTCTCTGGATATTGCATGGATGTTTTCAATGCCGTTGTAAACCTCTTACCCTTCAAGGTTTCTCTAGAAATCGAACCATTTGTTAATGAATCAAGAGAGACTGCTGGATCATACGATACACTTGTCCAACAGGTCCCAACAAAGGTTAGTAGTGACTTTCAGCAAGTAACTATTCTGTATATATATATATATATATATATTGGGAAGATATTCTCACTATCAAAAATTTTCACTATCAATTTACTACCTATTTAATCACCATTGAATCAAAGAGAGAATGCTAAAAAGCTTTTAAAGAGAGAGAAAATGCTAATTCAATGGTGATTAGATAAGTAGTAAGTTGGTAATAGAAAATTTTGGTAATGAGAATATCCCTTCTCATATATATATGCCTATTTTATTTAGAAAAAATAAAGCCAGAAAAATTGACTCTTTTCTTTTTTGCTAAAAATACTATGGAACAGTATGATGTTGTGGTAGGGGATGTAACAATCGTGGCCAATCGTTCAAAATCTGTAGATTTCACACTGCCATTTACAGAATCAGGAGTTACAATGCTAGTACCAGTTCAACATGACAAACACAAAACCATGTGGATTTTTGTCAAACCCTTCAGCTGGGATCTTTGGTTAAGCATAGTCATAGTTTCTATGTTCATAGGGATTGTCATACTCATCATGGAAAGAAATGTAAATTCCCTCCCTAATCAGGAAGGTTCACCAAATCGAAAACAGCTCAGCGCATTAAACATATTATGGTTTCCAATATCACAAGCCGTTCTTCCTGAAAGTAAGTATAATGATAATTAATGTTTAATTTGCTATTATTTTATATTTATAATTAATTTGTTGGTTAAAATTTTGGGTTTTCAGGACAGGTAGTCGCCAAGAACTGTTCCAGATTTGTTTTGATGGTTTGGCTTCTATTGGCGTTTGTCCTCATGCAAAGTTACACTGCAAACCTGACATCTATATTGACCTTAGATCAGCTGCAACCAAGTTTTCTTAGAGTGGATGATCTAAAAAATGGGGATTATTATGTTGGATATCAAACTGGCTCTTTCGTTTATGATATGTTGGTACAGCGATGGAAGTTTAACCCATCAAAGCTGAGGGCTTATAGCAACATTTCTGAGTATCACCATGCTCTAAATATTGGAAGCCAACGTGGGGGTGTAGCAGCTATATTTGATGAACTACCCTACCTTAAAGTCTACCTTAAAAAATTTGGATCCAATTACATCATGACCGGCCCCACCTATCGAACTGATGGGTTTGGTATTGTAAGTGTTTCTCTAATTCTCGTACATGTTTAATTAACTTGGTCAATCTAGAAAACTTGGCTGCGTGTCATGCCTTATAAGTGAAGTAGTTTAATTAAACCTTAATGTTGGTTTTTAAATTTTAATTGAATAATATTGTGTATATATCTATGTTATTATAATTAAGTATGCATTATTTTTCAGGCATTCCCTTTAAACTCAAATCTTACCGCTCACTTTTCAAGAGCAATCTTGAATGTGACTGAAAGTGATTTAATGGATAAGATTGAGGAAAAATATTTTGGGAAGAATGAAGGAGGAGGACAAGGACAAGACCAGCCTGCCCAATTGTCTTCCGCAACTCCAAGTCTCACCTTTTATAGCTTTGCAGGGCTCTTCTTGATCACCGTGGTTGCTAATTTATTAGCATTACTCGTCTCAGAAACTTTTATTTGGCAAAGACCCATTTTGATGGCTAAAACATACAGTCAGAGGTATTTGTTCCGCACTCCAACTTCCAAAGAAACAAGTGTTCATTCAAGTCATGATTCAACGCAGGGAATAGAAGCCGTTTAATAAAACCTTCCAGTACTCCTTGTAGATGAAAATTACGTATATGTATTATTGTATTGCAAACAACTTGTAGCATGAGAAGCTAGCGCTTCTGTGTGTCTTATATATGGCACAAATAGTAACTAGCTTGGGGTTATGTCTGATCTTTAGTTAGTGATTGATATACAGAAATAATATACAACACTGTTTTAACTTAATTCATCTTAACTCTTGGCATTTATTTTATGGATTTAATATTTTTCATGTGAACCTACATAAACATACATGAAGAGAAGAGAGAAAGAGAAAAAATGGATCCTCCTCACTTCCATGTGAATACATGAAATAAAGTTATGCGAAAAATATTAATCCTTTATTTTATTAAACATGTTGATGATTAGCAACCATCTCACTAAAAGATCAAACTATTAAGTGAAGATCACTTTAATTATATTATACTTCTCTAAAAGTTGACAATTAAACTTCTAACAGTTGACAAATATCTTATGACAGGCACGGAATAACTTATTAGTTTCTCAGGGGTTGTTGGCAAAGTTTACTTCCACTAGAAGATACAAGAGAATCAATCAATGATCAATATCATGCCATGCTAATTAAGCAGTCATACATATGCTCAATACGAAGAGACTAAACCAGTAATATTGTAAGATATAACTCGGGCTTAAGCGTGAGAACGTCGACTATACAAATTTTGTATTTCTATACGTGATGATCCCCACAAAAGTGGTTTCCGAATAATATATACTATTAATACTATTATCATACTACTATATAACTTGCACATTCATCCCCTAAATTTGTTTTAGTTAAATTTTTTTGGTTAAAATTTTTAGTTAAAATATTGAATGAATTTAAGTGTACATTTTTTTCCATTCTATTTTTAAATCATGCAAACACGTTTTCTAATTTAAATTTTCACAAAAGAAATAACATGTTTTATCTTTTAAATAAATTCAAATATTAAAGATATAAATAAGGGACAAGATCTGTTTACAAACTTTTTTTGCAATTACACTAATGTAGGACCGGTCGTACACTGTGTGATTAATGTAGGACCGGTCCTACATAGTGTAGTTTGTAAATATAACCTGCCCCTATAAATAATATCAAAAGCAATCTTCTTATTTTTAGTCTTTCATCTGAATAACTTAACTATACATCAAATGACATTCAATATAGAATTATTAGTGATTTTGTGTTGTGCATCGAATACTGATCAATAATAGAAAGAAAAAAAAATTGTATTAGAATTCATCTATTTGTGGTGTGTTCTTCTTCTTGTATTGTTGACGAAACGCAACCTAGGAATAAACAATCGTTCTTACAACACCCTGTGTTCAAACGTTCGTTGATTTTGGCAGCCATGGCGAGCACCAAAGTTCAGAGGGTTATGACCCAGCCCATTATACGTCTCTCACATATTCTTTCTCTTTCGATTTTTATTTTCCTTTAACTGAAGAAGTGAACGTCAAGAAAACGAGCAGAGAGACATTAGGTATGCTAAAGTTTCTCAATTTTTGTTCTTTTTGTCCTTGCCACTTACTCATGCATTTCCTGAAGGATATTATTGTTTTGATTAGTGAGGCCGATCCTTCTTAAAGGAGACAACATAACTTTAATGATGAACACGTAAGTGAAGATAAAATTGTACTCTCATCTTTTTAGTTGTTTTCTTTTTCTAAATTTAACTGAAATAATTTTCTCTTAAATTTCAGGGGAAAATGATGATGAATACTCTCGGACAGTTGTAAACTGTATGTCATATTCAACAAGGAGGCAGATTTATCTTTCCCTCCTCAGTTTTAATACTATTTCTCTTGTTAACATTTTCAGTATGATGCGTAAGAAACATCACAATGTATGACAGTATGGATTTTTTGTGCACTAGATAAATTCTTAGTTGAGCAGCTTAACATGGTTTGTTGGTCCGTTTAATTCTGCCTTCCTTTTCTCAGTATAGATATTCAGATTCTCATGGGCGGACCTACATGGGCCCGCCCCCTCTAAAATATGAAAATATGTTCTACTATATGATATGTAACCATGGTCTGTAAAAACAAAATTTTGAAAGTGCTTTTAAAAAATGAAAGACAAGCATGCTATTTATAAAAAAAGTGTTCCACCCGTTCATTGCACCGAATTAGAGATAACTTATTTACTAGATTCAACCTGTCAGCATATATGGCAGGTTTTGTTCTTGGTCTGCTATCCTCCCCAATCAATGTGGAAAACTGGTTTTTCCGTTGTATATAAAGAAGCGTTCAGTTTGTAATGCATATTCACTCAACCTATCAAATTTGTCTAGAATTTGATTTTATATTGATTGATTATCTAATTTTTTTTTATAATCATTAAAAATTTGTACAGATTGTCATGTCAAAACTCAGGAGAAGAGTATTTTTAGATTATTCTTAACAAGTATTTTTATATTCTTAGTGTGATCATCCAACTAAAATTGACATTGTCTTTTTATTATAGTAATATAATTTTTCGCCCCCGTCATATAATTTCCTGGGTCCGCCACTGCTGAGATTCCAGCACTAGAAAGATAATTGTATTATGATTAAGAAAGTATAACTCTAATATTATAACCTTTCGCCCCATTGATTGACTTTCCCCCTCTCATTTTTTTTTTGACAATCGACTTTCCCCTCTTATCGTATTATATCATATCATATTCAGTCATTTGGAGGAGTTAATTAGATAGATTTCTCTGAGACATCTGGTTGTTGTTTTTGCTAAGATTTTGCACAATATGCTTGATAATGAATTATTGCATTATGGCAGCTTTATTATCCGTAACCACTACTCAATGTAGATCTATTGCTTTAGATTATTTCCAAAATACTGTGCAAATTAACCTAAGATGGTTTCTGGCGGTTCTAGTAGCATTTTTTTTTTAGGGAAAAATATGTATTATTTTGAAAGATGTAAAGTTGTGTCATTTTAAGTAAGAGAAAGAGATAGATTATATATAGAGGAGAGAGAGTGGACAAAAAAATAAAAGTGTGAGCCCTACCTCTATGGGAGAGTGAAATGAAACAAGTTGTATCATTTAAAAGGATAAACTCTTTTTTCTTATTTTTAATATAAAGTTCGAGTAGCTTTTTTTTTAAGGGGAAGGATATTGTGACAACCAAGTTGTATTACTGCCAAGTGACTACCAATCAATCTTACCGTTAGATCGATTATATTGATCCAACGGTTATATTTATTTTCATCTTTGTATGGCCATGATTCCCCAAATTTAATATTTTATATTTATTTTCACCTTTGTATGGTTATGATTTTCCATATTTAATGCTTTCACTTTAAATATGGAGAATCATGACCATACAAAGATGGAAATAAATATAACTGTTGGATCCACATAATCGATCTAACGGTGAGATTGATTGGTAGTCACTTTGTAGTAACACAACTTGGTTGTCACAATATCCTTCCCCTTTTTTTAAATATAAAGTTCTCCTAGCATTTAGGAGGAAAAAATGCACAATAAATATATTTTTTGTTTGACTACGTTTCCATTGATTGAATAGAATGAAATAGGGGGAATGTATTGAAATGACATTCATTTTCATTATTTAAATATTTTTTTTTTTTTTTTTGGAGTTACACAACCCTAATTATCTCTTTGAGACGAGTTGGCTCCCTCCGGTATCCCCACGAGCTTCGACTCTTTGAGCCGGCTATGGGACTAATCCAGAGTGCGGGGGAACAGTGATGGCTAAAGGTTCAGCCCCCTCCCCAAGAATGCATTCAGCGGGAATCGAACACATATCCAACCCCACTAACTCAGCGCCAAGTTACCAACTGAGCTGCACCCATTGGGAGTAGGGGTGGTAAACAAACCAGGGGCCTTTGGCTCGGCTCGTAAAGGCCTGAACCTACATGTCTGAAATTGGTTATTGGAACCAGGTTTGGACTTGTATAAAAGCTCGTTTAATAAAAAGGCCTGAGGCTCCAATTCAAAAGCTCGGTCTTGGAGCCTCTCAGGCCGACCTAGTATATTAATTTTTATTTTATTTTATATTTTTATACTACTTGTAATAGTGCCCTCTCTCTCCTCAATCCATTTCACCCCAATTTTTTGGTTAAACAGATTTTTTGAATAATTTTGTTCTATATTATGCTGTTTAGATATACATTGAATTTATGAATATTTTTGGAATTACTAATGTTGTTGATTGTATATTCTGTTTGGATAAATTTGTGCTGTCTTAATTTTTTTTAAACAGGCTAACAGGTCAAATCAGGCTTTTATTTTTTGTAAATAAGACAGGCCAATGCCGATAATTATATTCGTAACAGGTAACAGGCTAGGTCAGGCTGACACATTTAAACACAGGCTTAGCCTTTTAAGACCAAAGCTCGGCTCGGCTCGACCCGTTAACACTCCTATGTGTGAGTTTTTTTTATGCTAATAGTTTATGTCTTCCTAGTTTTTCGCTTGTTCTCGATAACTAACTTTTGGTCTTTTTCTTGAAAAGTTAACCCTTCACTACTCAGATGCATTATGTATATGACAAATTATAGTGCTAAGATATGATTTAAGTCAGATTTGAAGCTTGTAGGCTATGCCTTTTCATCCCTATATAAGCACTTTCAGAACAACAAATAAGAAAGGGAGGCTAGGATCAGGTGGACGAATTCAAGGAGGATGTTAGGTGATGACCTAACAGGAAGGGAAAGTAAAGAATGAGCAGAGACTTTTTTTTATTATTTGCATAAAAAACAATGCTTACAATCAATGTGCCTTTTATACTAAGATACCCACGACTAATTGGTAACTAACTCAGGTTTACTAACTCTATACATTTAACTTGCTTTAACTCAAGCTAAAAAGTCTTGGAGTCTAGTAGAGTGTTATCTCACTCTATTAGATGTCCTACGTGTAACAATTCCCCCATCTTCAGAAACAACCTTGTCCTCAAGGTTCAAGGTTGGATAATAGCTAACCACTTGCTCCTCTGGTTCCCAAGTTGAGTCCTCTGGAAGGGCAT